TTTCTGAACAAGTTCAGTCATGTCTCTGCACTGTCAAAACAACATTTGTCTAGAATGTGCTGAATGAAATATACTATAGGTTGCTGTAATGTTCCGGGGGTTTTTTCGGGTTTTTTTCTCCAGTGTGGTTCAGCTAAGATAACATTTTTGTTAGTACCATGGTTCTCCTATAATAGATCTGAAGTCCAAGCCCTGTATTTATTGTCAGAGTATCTCAGCATGTCAAATAATTGAAGTGAGGCGTTCTGTCCAAGATGCAGAGATTCAACATAACAAAACCTAATATAATTTGCAGCAGTACTTTGGAAACATGCAGACCGAAACTTGTATATTTGTCACACTGAAACTATATCAAACTGAAAAAAAAAACAAACATACTATTTGTTTTTCTACCTCAGACCACCGGTCACTTATTTAGTGGCCTTGGATGATAAGTTGCAGATGAATGCAGACAAAGTGGAGAGGAACATCATTGAGACACAGCGTAATCTCAACAGGGTAAGTACAGAACAACTGCTTCTGGATTACAAATCAAAGCAACAGGGTTTATGTTTAAATGCCCCTTGAAATATATCAGTTTAGGGTTATTTGCAGTACAATTGCAGAAAGTGTATGCCAGTCTTATTTTAGTATTATTTAGATACTATTATAGCATTTTGAATTAGCAAAGCAACATTTCTATTTTCTGTTAAAGTTTTGTTTTAAGTTTTTTTTCCTCCCCACAAAATATTAGTATTTTATGATTTTTTATTTAATTTTATGTTAATTTATTTAACTTTAACAAAATGTCTCAGGTTACCAATGTGACCGTGGTTCCCCGAGAGGGAACGAGACGCTGCGTCCGACACTTTGAGGAATGCTGCCAGCATGACCGGTGTCTGAAGCATGTGTAAATCAACTCCAATCCTATTGGTCCACGTGGCCTGTGACGTTATAGGCAGGTACCCAAAAGTATAAAAGGGCACCTTCTGAATACGTCACCAACTCAGTTGTCTGAGGAGACGTAAACAGGCAGGCCGAGGCATAGCAAGGGGACGCAGCACGAATCAGTGGAGATTTCAACACAATTGTATCGGAAAAAGGTTCAGTGCTCGAAGCTTTTAAACACTGTTTATGTTGTGGCCATCTAATGGTCATGAAAATTAATAGCACCTTCCAAAGTGCTGTATTATATTACAGCCGCCGGTTTCACAACTGGTTCTACAACTGATTCTTCATTTTAAATTATTGTAAATACTGGCAATAAAATAAATGAAACATACATTTGTAAATGATTTAATTAAATCTGTGATCTGTCTGTTTTAAATCCGAATCAGTACTTAGACTGTTATAGCCCATTTCCATTTGAGCTTCATATATAAATTACGATATTGGGCTAATGCATAATGTATTTTTTTTTATTTTTACCTTTATGAAGTCTCATTGAGATTAAAATATCTTTTACAAGAGAGACCTGGTCAAGGTAGCAGCTATAAAGTAAGGCAACATTTTAAAATACAATAAATACACATTAGAACAATATGTAAACATAACATTCTCTCAACAACAAAAAAAACAATCACAAGCCTCCATTACCACTATATTTATGATGCCTTTAAATTCACCAAATTTATATAGATCTTTTTTGCAAATTATTCCATGCCCAGGGTGCGTAATACGAAAATGCAGTTTTCCCCAGTTCTGTACAAACTCGAGGTACGTTAAAAAGCAAACACTTGAAAGAGTGTTGCTGGTAACTGCCGGAAATAAGACAAATAAGGGTATATAGATAAGCTGGAAGTAGGGAAAAAAATATAACTAACACGTGTCTTCCCAATGACTGACCACCTAGAAGGGCATGGTAAGCAGCTATGTCTGCCATGTAAACCTTCGGAGTGGAGGGAGTTAACCCTGTGGAGAAGCGCTCCTGCAGAAACTCCAGAACTGCACCAACTGTGCATTTGACTGGGTCTTGCATTCGCTATCCGCACCAAGAATTGAAAAGTTTCTCCTTCAAGGCGTGCAGTTTCCTCGTGGCGGGAGCTCTGAACTGGAGTATGTTATCAACAACCTCAGTTGAGAGACCGGATGCTAGGAGTCGTGCCCCCTCAGGTGCCATGCCCACAGCTTCGATATCTCTGGGCAGGGGTGAAGGGGAAAAAAATATAACTAACACGTGTCTTCCCAATGACTGACCACCTAGAAGGGCGTGGTAAGCAGCTATGTCTGCCATGTAAACCTTCGGAGTGGAGGGAGTTAACCCTGTGGAGAAGCGCTCCTGCAGAAACTCCAGAACTGCACCAACTGTGCATTTGACTGGGTCTTGCATTCGCTGTCCGCACCAAGAATTGAAAAGTTTCTCCTTCAAGGCGTGCAGTTTCCTCGTGGCGGGAGCTCTGAACTGGAGTATGTTATCAACAACCTCAGTTGAGAGACCGGATGCTAGGAGTCGTGCTCCCTCAGGTGCCATGCCCACAGCTTCGATATCTCTGGGCAGGGGTGAAGGATGGTGCCCCCCACCTGAGAGAGGAGGGCCCTCCTGATCGGAATCTCCAGCAGAGAGCCATCAAGGAGGGACATCAGGTTCAAGAACCATACTTGGGCCGGCCAGAATGGGGCTACTAGCAGGAGACGGACCCTGTCCCGGCGTACTCTCTTCAGAACTCTCGGGAGCAGAATGATCAGGGGAAAAGCGTACAGACGAAGCCTCTGCCACGTCTGTACCATACCATCCAGCCCAAGCGGAGATGGGTGTGTGAGGGAGAACCAGAGTGGACAGTGTGTCGTATTCTGAGACGCGAATAGATCCACTTCTGCCTGGCCGAACTCACTCCAGAGGAGCTCCATCACCTCTGGGTGGAGCCTCCATTCCCCGGGCCTTAGCCCCTGTCTCGACAGGATGTCTGATCCCTGATTGAGGTACCCAGGGATGTAAACTGCTCTGAGTGAGAGGAGCTGTCCCTGGAGGATCTGGTGCACCAGCCTGTAAAGGGGTGCGAACGCAGACCCCCCTGTCTGTTGATGTAGGAGACCACCGATTGGTTGTGTGTGGACAAGCACATGATGTCCCCTTAGGTCTGGAAGGAAGTGTTTTAGAGCTCGAAACACAGCCAGCATCTTTATTCAATTTATGTGCCAGGCAATTTATGTGCCACGTGAGATGATGGCCTTCACACAGACCCTGGGCAGAGCGGCCACTCATGATCGCTTCCCTGCCCGTGAGGGAGGTGTCCGTCATTAGCATTACATGACAACAAGGAGCCCCCAACATCAGGCCTTGAGACAGGAACCAAAGTTTCTTCCACATGTCCAAGGTACGTAAGCATCGCCGCATGACCTTGATCGTGCGAAGCGGGTTCCCCCTCTGGGAAAACCCCTTGGTCCTGAGCCACCACTGCAAGGATCTCATGTACAGCAGGCCAAAAGGTATCACGTTGGATGCAGCTGCCATCAGACCCAATAATCTCTGAAACTGTTTGACAGTGAGTGACTGGCCTTCTCTCACTCCCCTCACGGCTATGAGAATCACTTTGATATGAGCAGGGGACAACTGTGCCTGCATCGTCGTCTAATCCCACACCACGCAAAGATAAGTGGTCCTCTGTAATGGAGAAAGCACACTTTTCTTGGCCATAAAGTTTAGCCGTAACCCCAGCTCTTTCATATGGGCGAGGACGACATCTCGATCCCGAACCGCCATCTGCTCTGACTGAGCTAAAATCAACCAATCGTTAATGTAATTCAGTATGCGGATGCCCTGGTGTCGCAACGGAGCCAGGGCAGCATCCACACACTTGGTGAAAGTGCGGAATGAGAGTGACAAGCCAAACGGAAAAAAAACGATACTGGTATGATTTGCCCCCGAAAGCAAACCTCAGGATCTTCCTGTGTTGAGGAAGGATGGATACTTGGAAGTATGCGTCCTTGAGATCTATCGTGACAAACCAGTCATCTGATCTTAGACACGATCTATTTGATAGTGAGCATCTTGAACCAAAACCGTTTGATAGCGTGGTTCAATAGATGCAGATCTATGATCAGACACAACCCTCAGTCCTTCTTCAGAATGATGAAGTAGCGGCTGTAGAATCCAAACTCTCTGTCGAGAGGAGGGACCATCTCGATGGCCTCCTTCCAAAAGAGAGTATTTACTTCTTGTTCTAATACCAGAGCCTGCTCAGGGCCCACAAGTGTAGGAATGACCCCGTTGAAGTGAGGTGGACGAGAACCTAACTGAATTCTGTAACCTCTCTCTACAGTCTGCAGGACCCATTGTGAGACATTTGGCAGAAGTTTCCACGCTGTCAGAAAGTCTACTAAGGGAATCAGTCTCTCGAGACTGGCCTCTGGTGTCACTAGAGGAGCCACCTGGGTGCCCTGAAGTGAACCGACCTGACTGCTCTAGTGCCCTCAAGCTTTCCCATGTCGTACCATCGACAGGCGGCAGCTGGGAAATTCACTCGTCGGAGCTCATTGAGCCCTGAAGCACCAGGGGTGGCAGGGGCATCAGTGAATCTCCCTGAGGGCACTGAGGAGGATCTGGCACCATATACTGATGTGTGTACCTCTCCTCCCTAGGGGTGCTGTCCTCAGGGCCCTGATGATGGTTCTGTCAGGGCTGCTTGGCCGAGGCCTTCTTAGTCAAAATAACGGTCCGCAGATCTGCTTTCTGCTTCGAAGACCCCGACCCCGACTGCTGTGGAGTGGCCGATGGCTCTGGCCGTTTCCTTGGTGGCCCGAAGTGACAGGTCTGTGGCCCGACGTAGTTTGGCAACTATGTCGGATTCCTCATCCCCCCTCTCATCCAGGTCTTTTAGCAGGTCGGCCTGGTACACCTGTAAACTTCGGGGCCTTCAGGGATGATGCTGAGGATGGGGAGAGATAGCTCACGAGAGTCTGCTCCACTGCCGACATTGCCCCTATCCTTTCTCATTCAGCCCCATAATGTTGGAATAATAAGAGACGGAAGGGCTGAAGAGTTGGGACGAATATGGTTTCTCCCACGATCTTGAAACCTCAGAATGAAGATTGGGGAAAAACAGAAAGGCCCTGTCATGAAGGCTGTGATCTGGCTTTCAGGAAGCACTCGTCCAGTTTACTTTTGGGACGAGCGTCCTGTTTCTTGGCTGGCCATTCGATGTTCAGTTTGGCTACAGCGCGAGTCACTAGCTCCACAAGCTCCTCATACGCGAGGGACTGTGATGGCGAGTCCACAGTCTCCTCTGTGTCGACGCTCATCACGTTAGCCTCCTCGGAGGAAGACAGATAAAGCTTCTGGTTTTCTCTCCGGGGGGAAGAAACCACGGAGCGGGCTTCCGATCCCTGAGAGGGAGCTGTGGATGTAGCCGGTGAGGACCAAGATAAGGACGAGCCAGTCTCGGATCCCTCCGCTAAATCCACTTGCGATCCCCAGGATAACAGAGGGGGCCGGACCAAGCAGGATCGCGAACCTGGCAGCTTTCATCGAAGACAATCACACCATGTGACCACCTATTTTGACATTAAATAAATAAAATCACTGGTAAATAAAACACACCTTAGTATTGACTTTTTTTTTTTACTTGAGTATTTCAAATATTTGCAATGATATTTGCACCAGTGTGTGTATATATATTTATATATATATATATATATATATATATATATATATATATATATATATATATAGCCTACTTCAGGATCGATACGCCCATCCCTATGAAGAATCAGAATATTTGTTGATTTTTTGACAGAGAACGTTTCAAAATTCTATTGAAACAAAGCTTTTATCTATATTTCGGTTACTTTTAATTTCTTTATTCGATTAATTATTATTTTTCTCCCTCTCAGGATGATTCTGAATGGGAAGTTAAAATACCTTCAGAGGACACAACTGACGCACATATCAAGTACAGGTACAGAGATAAATATTTATTAAATATTACATACTTGTAACATTACATATATAATATCACATATTCTGAGAGCATCTTTATCAGTGTTATATTTGTGTTTTTCAGTGTCAGCTCCTCTGAAGGGCAGCATGAATGTTCAGAGACTGGCATCCGCTGGCGGTCTGACAGTGACGTCAGTTTGGAGTATCGGTTTGTTGACTGGAAATCACTCAGTAAAGATATTATGAAGAAATACAAACCATGTGGACCTTTGATGGACATCACTGTAACCTCTGGCACACTGGAGGAAATTCAGCTACCTCACTTTGCCTGTGTAGGTATGTATGTGTAAGGCATATCTCACTTCAGATCCAATTATTTCAACATTTGTGTAAACCTTTCAAGCCAGACATATGAGCTCTTGTTCTATGTAACTTAAATTGCATTACTGTCCACAGATTTTGAATCTTCCTCAGATGATGCAGTGAAAGCTCTTCATGTAAAGGACGGCACTGTTTCATTGGAAAGATGTGAATTAAGCAGATTCCATGCCAAGCTTCTCAATCCCACCTTCTCATTCTTGGCAATTGTTGTAGAGGTGCAACAGTACCTCACCATGAAATTTCACTGTGAAACTTTGATTTATCGCAACAGAATATCTCCTCTTAACCTTCATGTGTACCTGATTTTAAAGGATAAAAGACTTAAGAAGGTAAAATCTAATGATAAGCTTTCACAACTTTAACAATGATATGACAGTGTACCATGTGACCACGTATTTTGACATTCATTTACTTACAATTGCAGAATAATAACCAGCTACTTATTGGATGATTTTATTTGCAAGAGACAATAACCAAACTCTTCTGAAGGGCTAATTAAAATCTTGCCATTATAGTATTCCCTCAGGCCCCTCTTTTCACACAACAAAAGCAAACAAGACATATACAGAATATAAAGGACAACCTTCATGTGTACCTGATTTTAAAGGATAAAAGACTTAAGAAGGTAAAATCTAATGATAAGCTTTCACAACTTTAACAATGATATGACAGTGTACCATGTGACCACGTATTTTGACATTCATTTACTTACAATTGCAGAATAATACCCAGCTACTTATTGGATGATTTTATTTGAAAGAGACAATAACCAAACTCTTCTGAAGGGCTAATTAAAATCTTGCCATTATAGTATTCCCTCAGGCCCCTCTTTTCACACAACAAAAGCAAACAAGACATATACAGAATATAAAGGATGCTATGTTTTCAAGTCTTTTGAAGCCATTTAGCCTATTAATTTCAAAGCTAAATAAATAATTACATAAATCAATCTGGAATGTGTATGATACATGTATGAACCTCTATGATTATAAGTTAAATATACCACTCAACAGGTTTCAGTATTTGAGATTTTACAGGTGTTGTATGGCTTCAGATGACTTGGAATATAACAAATTGTATGGACAATATAAGTATATTTATATTTTTGCTTTTGCAGAAAGCAACTGTAACACTACTTCTTTAAGTACATGTTTAAGTAACAAATAATTATGTCTAACACTGTTAGAAAGTGGAGGAGAAGGAGACAAATAATATGGAGATTTTAAAACCAACTCCAGATGAAGCCCTTAAAATCGATGACAGTTACACCCTGAAGACATCTGGTGGCTCCAAAATCAAACCTTCGGTACCTGGAAAAAGTTTGCCTTTTTTTGGCTAGAAAATTATCCAGACTTACATGCTGCCTCTTTCTAAAATATTTAAATTCTCTTCTTGCCAGAGTTTAAAACTGACACCCAACAAGACCAACTTCTTTGATTTACACATTCAAGATGCAAATGAACCAATTGAACTCTGTATAATGACAAAAGAGGGCCAACAGATATGGGAAGTTAATATCGAATCAGGTAAACAACCCACACTAACTTGCAAATCTCTCTGCAGATCAGCTGTTAATCTTGTATATTTAATTTTTTTGTCTGTGTTCTTTCAGATGAATTCAACATAGACAGTTCAGCATGTAAGTGGCATTACAATCTCAATATATGAACTATAAACATGAATACACATATACATGCTATAAATTCAAGCAAGTGTTTTACTGTTGTTCTGCAGTTAGAATAATATTTAATACAGTTAATGTAGGTATTTTTGGCCTCATTTCAGCTGAATGGCGGCAGGCGACCTCTTCAACCAGTAAGTCACAATGACTAGTTAATTCAGTGACCGGTAGCCTAAATGTTCCGTACTGTTCTGCAAAGTTAAATATACCATATTGACCTGAATATAAGACGATGGTTTTTCTTTCTTTCTTGGAAATACCAAAAAATGGGTCGTATTGTATTCAGGGTCTAGACTTTGACATGTCAATAATACACCCACAACAATAGGTGTAAACAAAGTAAAACGAGCGTGCCAAGGAATACGTAATGAAATGTGTGTTGTAATGTTGTTAAAAGATCGTGAGTGAAAACAAAAGAAAAAGAAAAGCTTACAGTGGCATGAGCATAGATTGTAAAAAAAACACGGACGTAGTGTCCGTGACGTCACCCGTAGGTTTCTAAAGAGCTCAAAGCTCAAAGTGGGCGGAGTCGGCCGTCGCCATCTTGGCAGCGCGTCACTCCCAGATCATCGAAAATGGGCAAAGAGGCGGGAGCTGGTTGCTGAAACCACGCCCACCGAGCTCGACGGCGGCGACTGCAGCGGCAATCCACCTGCCACTCAAGTGGCCACGCCCTTAATTATGCAGAATTTTAAGTTATAAAAAAATGTCACCCCCCCTCACAGTTGTCATGAAGGGCAAAATTAGCTATATAGACCAAAATAATTTTTTGAACCAGGCTGTAAACATTTTTTTTCTGCTGTGAAGTTGGGCATTTTAACATGGGGAGTCTATGGGAGCCAGCCTCTAGCGGCCAGTCGATGAATTAGAGTTTAAGTCACTTCCGTGTTGGTTTCATGAGAGCGAGCGGGACGTTGCCACTTGGGCATGAGTCGGGACTGTCATGTTAGCCTGATGGGACCAAACTTCCTCTGTAAGTGATTTTAAAGCATAAGACAGTACCCAGATTGGAAGACTACAATAATATACAATAATACAATAACAATTCAATTTTGCTAGGCTACTATGAGATGGATAGCCTATTTGTTATATAATTCAGATGGGCTACCTGTTATTTTTTTATGGTAGGCCAGAAGTGTATATTTTTATTGACCATACTATCAAAAAAAAGAAAAAAAGGAAAAATATGCCATATGAAAATAATTTTTTTTTCTTCTTAAAACACAAGATTTGATTTTCAAACAGCCTTTTTACAAAAGATACATCTTGAAAAGGGGGATCGTCTTATAATCAGGGTCATCTTATATTCGGGTCAATACGGTATTATTATTTTTTTTGTGTCTTTAGCCACTATATGTACTTTCAGTTTTACCTAATGTTAAATGCACCGTCTGCCATCTTGTTTAAAACATTGCATTCTCATCTGGTCTGCGATTATGGGGCATTCTGGTATTGCTTTCATGATGAAGGATAAAATAAAGGCTTTCCTAGAATTTGGCCAAAACTGATGTTTATCTGAGTAATCTATGCGTACATATACATTTCAATATGCAGTTTTTGAAAGTGCAGCCTACACTTTCTTATGTAATTCCAAAAGCCTGGACAATAATTTTGTTACATATTACGAGTTGTGTTGTTGTTATTATTTGTATGTTCTTCCTATTCTCTTTGTGTGTCTTTTCAGTGAATAGATCCTCGCTAATTTTTCAATGGATGCGCCGCCTGTTAGAGAATATGGGACACTCAGCTCGCGCTCGTTTTGAAACGCCTCTTCTGCCATCCACAAGTGAGCTGATGAGACTTCGGCTCGGTCGCACAGTTCAGGGGCACGATGCTGGTCTGACAGGTGGGGGGACCAAACTGAGTGTTAGTCAGTTTTAGTACCACTTTAATATGCAATGGATTATCAAAATGAAAACAACACAAAGAAAAAAATTATTTTCAGGAAATTAGTATTAACATAATTTAGGGAAAATTGTTATTGTTTATAGTTTTCGACACATGTAACATTGCAATTAATAAATGACAGGGGACCAGACTGCGACCATTTTTTTCTGCCGGTGTAACTACATTTTGTGAGCGGTTGCATTGGTGTGACAATCGCATTGTCCAACTCAAGCGCTGCCATTTTTGTTGCATATGAGAAACATCGTGAAAGCATAACAAAACCACCCCATTTTTAATGGGATAACCAAAATAAACTTTGTGGTATACACTTATGGGGAAACAAAAACAAAACAAAAAAAACTTCAAATTAGCACTATAACTAGTAGATGGCATGAGAGGAGCACTTATTGGCTCATCAGTCATTTATCTCTACTTGTTGCTTAATATTTAGAAATTATAAAACCACTATTATAAAATATCAAATCATCAAGAAATCATATTTTGTCAAATGTCGCACTTTTTTGTTTATGAAGTAAAAAAAAGTCACAAAGTGCAACAAGTAGCTACTCATACACACAATGAAATCATGAGTTTTATGTCAAAAACCAACAAACAACAAATACAATTAGCAGCACTATGCACCTTTTGTTTGCATAAACATTAAACTATTCATATAATGATGGCCGGTTTTTAAACAAACAGAAAATCTTGGTTAGGCTCGGTTACTTAGGCCTACAGCATAACTGGTTAAAATCAATTAAATGTTTAACTTGGCAACAATGTAAAAACACATGCAAATGATGAACTTTTGTTCATTAAGCTGAAGGGGACATTTTCAAAAAGTGTTCCCCCTCGGGAATTGCTGTTCCAGACTCTTCGTCAGCCTCCTGATCAAAGTGTTTATTATAGTTGTTTCTTACTTATTATGTGGTCAGTGTAGGAGAGACCTGCCCTTTAGTAATCTGTTCTCTCTGTTTTTGTTAAGAGTAGTTAGGTATCTTTGTATTTTTATTTTATTTTGTTAGGTTAATTACGTTGATTAATTTTCTAGACTGACTTTATTTGTTGTTTTGGGCCTTGGGTCTCTCTGAAGCCCTGTACCACTCCATCTCCTCATCTCTTAAATAAATCTACACCTTCAATGTATGAAGTTTTTTGGCTTGATGAGATGAGTCTTTATTATTTTTATTGCGTCTTACCCCTAGCAGACGTAATACTTTTAATGAATTTATTATATTGATTTATTGTTTAATCTTTACCCAGGTCATGGGTCTGCAGAGACTGACACGGCACAGAAACAAGAAAGATGCAAAAGTGGTGAAGGTAAAAATGATGGAAATAGATCAGGCTGTTTCTATGCAGATTCTTCATTAAATATGTTGTTCATGCAGGCGCTGAGTTTGTGGAGAAGCACAGGACAGAGTTGATCAGACGGGTCTCACTGGTGGAGCCCATCGCAGACGACATGAAACCTCTGATCGGCGACGAAAAATACCTAACCATCTTAAACTCAGAAACACCGCAAGACAAAATGAGAAAGCTTCTGAACTTTCTCACGACAACTAAACTGAAAGATAAACTTTACCAAAGTCTTTTAAAAAATGAGCGCTTCCTTGTTGAAGAGTTGGAGTATTCTGAGTAGTTGCTCTTCCAAGCATCAAAAGAATGAATTCATTATGGTTCATTATTATTTTACAGCAGACAGGTCATTAATAATATAATGTGGCCTGGGGTATAATAAAGCCCAGTGAAGCCGTGGTTTACAGTGAATTTATAACAGCTAAGGGGCGTTGTTAGGTACGACGCGAAGCGGAGTGCTAAAAGGAATTATACATTTCATTAACTTGTTTGCATGTGTTTTGTAACTTGTAGCTTATTTTACATATGTACTGAAAACTAATTCATTTTTGTTGTTGTTCTTGAGGGATTCATAGTGTTGCATATTTCTGAGTTACACACCTGTTCCCATTTTTTTCCATTTATTATTGGAGGGTTGTCCCCCCCTAAAATTATGATTAAAACCACGCTGTGTATTGTAAATAACAATGTTTGATACTTTAAATAATTGTGTAACTAATAAAACAACACAAACGGGGCAAAAATGCGTTTTAAGTTTAGAAACATTTTGAGTCTCCCCCTCCCTTGCCTCACAGTGCTTTGGTCCAAATGCCTGCTTTCCTCTTTTACATCACCTACACCAGTGTTGCCAAGTCTGCAGTTTTCCCTCGGAATTGGGCTACTTTAACACTGTTGCCGCGGGTTGTTTTTCATGTTCGCGGGTTTAAGCGACCCCAATAACGTGATATTCAACCCCTAAAAAGCCAATTTTACCAGGGGAACCCCACCAAAAACGTGTATTTTACCCCACCGGAATGTGATTTTTACTGGGGGATCCCCCTTGAAACATGACTGGGCTAGTTTAGGGCTAGTTTTGAGTAGCAATTGTGCTGGTTTTGTCGTGAAAACCTGGCAACCCTGACCTACACACACAAGTCTGGTGAGAGAGAAGTCATTAGTTGTGGAACTCCAGTAAGTAAGGCTGTCAAGGAATAAGGCATTTTATTCACTTAAATATCGGATGAAGTGATTATTTTCTCTTTAATACATGATGCCAATGTATTTTTCAATGAGTCCGCTATGTTAGCAATAATAACGTTACCTGCTTGAGGGAAAGGGTTGCCAGGTTTCCACAACAAAACCCGCCCAATTGCGACTCAAAACTAGCCCAAACTATCCGCGTTTCAAAAGGGGTTCCCCGGTAAAAATCGCGTTCCGGGGGTTAAAATACACGTTATTGGGTTCGCTTCAACCCGCGGACATGAAAAACAACCTACAGCAACAGTGATAAAGTAGCCCAATTCCACAGGTTTTCAACACTGTGACGGATGTCTACAATGGACACGAGCACTGTCACGGCGTGACCACAACAGCTTGAAGTGGTCTAATTCGGCACGGTCTCCCTGCTAGTAGTAAGGCTTTCCTCTGTGTATACATGTATTGCTCTTGAGAAATTTAATGTTTATCGCCATTTGATTATTAAATGCACTTGCCTTTGGTCCAACGCTGAACAACAATAAATACCATATTTGCATTATTGTAAGGGGTAGGTTTAGGGTTGGGGAAGGTGTAGACATTAAAAGCTTTGAGTAATGAACCGTTTATCGACACAATTTCATGAAAGCCTCAAACGCTTTAGAAAGCCTCAGTTTCCCATCACTAGTATAAAAGGAGCATCTCAGTCACTTAGTGCCAAATTTCACGAGAGAAGTATCAATAAAATCTAAAATCACATTTTGCAATGCAAAATTGCAGAGAATTTAGGTCTTTCACCAAGTACCATACATAATATTGTGAAAAGATTCAGGGAATCTAGATAAATCACAGTACATGTAGGGCAGGGGTATTCAACTAAAATTTAAAGAGGTCCAGTTAGAGAAAATTTCTTGAAGCAAAGGTCCGGAAGATCATAATGTCTAACTTATTAGTGTGATATATATTTTAGTAGCCTAGTAGTTCTATCAACATTTGCATGTAATCAATACCTGACTGTCAAATCAAATTAATTCAGTACAATTCAAAAACTTTTGACAATATTTATTGTCATGTAACATAGAACTGAACATATATGTATGACTAAATAAATGTATGGCTGCATTTCAAAATAAGATAAAATAAATAAAATGTGAAAATTGTGTATGTTCAAATAAAGTGCTTAACTTCAGAAAAATAAAATAAATGGAGAAAAAGCTTGAATTTCCCCTTTTCTGTTTTACATCTTGACTCAACAGTCTCAACCAATTTTACAGATAATAAATCTCAACACATCCTAACAATTGGAACAGTTTTAAAGTATCACTCTCTTCCCCTCTTATATCCCATTCCCCCACTTTTTTTTTGCTCAGTGAGAGAATTGAGCTCTAGCTTGTCTTGCCAGGATTTTAAACCTGGGCTTGAATGGAGTCAGAGCCATTCTCATACACATGTGGAGGTGCTCATTGGTGAGCCTGGAACGATATTTAGTTTTGATTATGTTCATTGTGGAGAAAGCTGCCTCGCAGTTGTATGTGGAGCCAAACATGGTCAAGATGTATAGGGCTACTTTCCTCAGACCTGGGAAAGCTGTCTCAGGGACCATTTGGAGCCAGAAAGTGGAAGGGTCAGTTCTTACAAACTGCTCTTTCAGGGCCACATTTGCTTGGAGATCAACCAATTGCATCTGGAGAGGCCCAGCATTTACCCATTTAAAGTGCTGTGTGACTTCCTTTGAGAACCCCCTGACATCTGTGATGAGAAATGGGTTCTGAATGAACATGGTGAGCTGCTGTCCAAAGCTGAAGCTGTCAAAACGGTTGCTGAAGTTTACAATCAGCTTATCAATAAAGTCAACAAAAGAAGATACATCTCTCTGTCCCTGAATCTGTTCCTGCACTGCTGGGAAGTGTGCACAGTCTCCCTGCAGGTCTTCCTTGAACACCTCAAGTTTCCTCTGAAAGGAGCGGACAGCTGTCATCAGTTCACAAATTGGTGTATTGTAAATAACAATGTTTGATACTTTAAATAATTGTGTAACTAATAAAACAACACAAACGGGGCAAAAATGCGTTTTAAGTTTAGAAACATTTTGAGTCTCCCCCTCCCTTGCCTCACAGTGCTTTGGTCCAAATGCCTGCTTTCCTCTTTTACATCACCTACACCAGTGTTGCCAAGTCTGCAGTTTTCCCTCGGAATTGGGCTACTTTAACACTGTTGCCGCGGGTTGTTTTTCATGTTCGCGGGTTTAAGCGACCCCAATAACGTGATATTCAACCCCTAAAAAGCCAATTTTACCAGGGGAACCCCACCAAAAACGTGTATTTTACCCCACCGGAATGTGATTTTTACTGGGGGATCCCCCTTGAAACATGACTGGGCTAGTTTAGGGCTAGTTTTGAGTAGCAATTGTGCTGGTTTTGTCGTGAAAACCTGGCAACCCTGACCTACACACACAAGTCTGGTGAGAGAGAAGTCATTAGTTGTGGAACTCCAGTAAGTAAGGCTGTCAAGGAATAAGGCATTTTATTCACTTAAACATCGGATGAAGTGATTATTTTCTCTTTAATACATGATGCCAATGTATTTTTCAATGAGTCCGCTATGTTAGCAATAATAACGTTACCTGCTTGAGGGAAAGGGTTGCCAGGTTTCCACAACAAAACCCGCCCAATTGCGACTCAAAACTAGCCCAAACTATCCGCGTTTCAAAAGGGGTTCCCCGGTAAAAATCGCGTTCCGGGGGTTAAAATACACGTTATTGGGTTCGCTTCAACCCGCGGACATGAAAAACAACCTACAGCAACAGTGATAAAGTAGCCCAATTCCACAGGTTTTCAACACTGTGACGGATGTCTACAATGGACACGAGCACTGTCACGGCGTGACCACAACAGCTTGAAGTGGTCTAATTCGGCACGGTCTCCCTGCTAGTAGTAAGGCTTTCCTCTGTGTATACATGTATTGCTCTTGAGAAATTGAATGTGTATCGCCATTTGATTATTAAATGCACTTGCCTTTGGTCCAACGCTGAACAACAATAAATACCATATTTGCATTATTGTAAGGGGTAGGTTTAGGGTTGGGGAAGGTGTAGACATTAAAAGCTTTGAGTAATGAACCGTTTATCGACACAATTTCATGAAAGCCTCAAAC